TCTCCCAGCCCACCCGCTGGTTCTGGGTTCTTCCTCCTATGATGGCGACACTCTAACCACATGATGGATCTGACTGAAAACCTGAGGGTTCTCTTTGTCTTATTTTCAGGTGAAATTCTGGCCCAGCATTTCTTGAGTTGGTTCTTTCATCCCTTTCCTCAGGCCAGGTGATCGCTTCTGGCTTGGATGCCTGCCGCTGCCTCCTGAGGGGTCCTTATACCTCCTGTGCGTTGTCCGTCCTGCCTGTTCTCCACTGACAGCCAGAGTGACTGTTCTAAAGTACAGATCTGACCACAGCATTCATTTTCTTAAACCCCATCCTCAAGTGAAGCACTGATTCCCCTCTGAGGTCCCCAGGACCCCACTTAACTGGCCTCACTGCCCCCTTCAACTCACCTCCCCTGACTCTCAAGAAACACCAGGCTTTTGGCTGGGCCCGGTGGCTCACACCTGTAAGTAATTCCAGCATTTTGAGAGGCTGAGGTGGGTGGATCACCTAAGATCAGGAGTTCGAGAACAGCCTGGCCAACATAGTGAGACTCCATCTCTACTAAAAATACAAAAAAAAAAAAAAAAAAATAGCTGGGTGTGGTAGCACTCCCCTGTAATTCCAGCTATTCCGGAGGCTGAGGTAGGAGAATTGCTTGAACCCAGGAGGCGGAGGCTGCAGTGCCTGAGATGACACCACTGCACTCCAGCCTGGGCAACAGAGCAAGACTCTCTCTCTCAAAAAAAAAAAAAAAAAAAAGAAATGCCAGGCTGGGCATGGTGGCTCATGGCTGTAATCCCAGCACTTTGGGAGGTCAAAGCCGGCAGATCACGAGCTCAGGAGTTCAAGACCAGCCTGACTAATATGGTGAAACTCCGTCTCTACTAAAATACAAAAATTAGTCAGGTGTGGTGGTGCCCACCTGTAGTTCCAGCCACTCAGGAGGCTGAGGCAGGCGAATCGTTTGAACCTGGGAAGGAGAGGTTGCAGTGAGCCAAGGTCATGCTACTGCACTCCAGCCTGGGTGACAGAGCAAGACTCTGTCTCAAAAAAAAAGAAAAAAAGAGAAAGGACAGACTTTCCTCTGCACATGCCCTGCGGACTCTGATGCCACAGTGGGCTCATGGGTGAGTGCCCCTCCTCGGTTCTCCTATAACATCCTTTGTTTGCTTCTGTCTGTGGTTATCATACTCCGTGGTAAACGCTTTCTGTATGTTTGCTTCCCAACACCACAAGAGCAGGGACTGCCTATCTTTATTTCAGTTTCCTAGTGCTGGGTACAGTGCTTATCATACACCAGGTGCCCAAAAAATGCCCACTGAATAAATGGAGATGGTGAAAAGGTACCTGTTTAAAGGATGGAAAACCTGGATTTAAATCAAGCTTGTCTATCCCATGGCCTGGGCCTGGGATAGATTTAAATGCAGCCCAACACAAATTCACAAACTTTCTTAAAACATTATGAGATTTGGTTTATGATTTTTTTAAAGCTCATCAGCTATTGTTAGTGTGTGGCCTAAGACAATTCTTCTTCTTCCAATGTGGCCCAGGGAAGCCAAAGATTGGATTTAGATATACTTGCCTTATATAGACCTCCCTGATTTAGATATACTTGCCTTATACTATCTTGCCTTACACTGAATGAACATTTACTTCTCAGGAGAGCCAAGTTATATGTCTATATGTATGTACACACACACACATACACACGCACACACTTTATGTGAAATCTGATCCTTTGCTTGAGAGCCTCCCCATCAATTAATCATGACTGGCCATTTGCAAAAAACCTTTTATCCCAAAGTACTTTTCATTTTTGAGACAGAGTTTCACTCTTGCTGCCCAGGCTGCAGTGCAATGGCATGGTCTCGCTTACTGCAATCTCTACCTCCCGGGTTCAAGCGATTCTCCCACCTCCGCCTCCTGAGAACTGGGACTACAGGCACCCACCACCATGCCTGGCTAATTTTTGTATTTTTAATAGAGATGGGGTTTCACCATGTTGGCCAGGCTGGTCTGGAACTCCTGACCTCAGGCGATCCACTGCCTTGGCCTTTCAAAGTACTGGGATTACAGGTGGGAGCCACTGCACCCAGCCCCTTTTTTGCATTTATTTTTTATTATGTATATATTATATATATTTACATTTTTTGAGATGGAACCTCTCTCCGTTGCCCAGGCTGGAGTGCAGTGGTGCAATCTCAGCTCACTGCAACCTCTGCCTCCTGAGTTCAAGTGATTCTCCTGCCTCAGCCTTCCAGGTAGCTGGGATTAGAAGCACATGCCACCACGCCTGGATAATTTTTGTAATTTTAGTAGAGAGGGGTTTCATTATGTTGGCCAGGCTGGCCTCAAACTCCCAACCTCAGGTGATCTGCCCACCTCAGCCTCCCAGAGTACTGGGATTACAAGCATGAGCCACTGCACCCAGCCCCAAAGCACTTTTCACATTGAGCCAAGCTCTCCTGCCCTACCAAAGCTGTAGGCTCAGCTCCCACCTCAGGACTGGCCTTCGAAGTAGACTCACATCCATGGTTCTCACTGGGGTCCATAGGGACGCTGGGAGGCAAGCAGGAAGGACATTGTCCCTATTTTTAAGATAAGAAAGCCTATTCACAGGAGATGAGGTGGGTGTCGAATGGTGTAGAGCAAATCAGGTATTTGTCTTTTCTTGCAGGGTCACAGACCACCCTGTCCCTACCTTCCAGAGCTGACAGAAGGTCCTGTGTTGCCAACACAGATTCTGGGAGGGTTGAGACGTACACCTTAGCCCTTTAGGTTGTAATACAGCTTGTACATCAGCTATTCTCTCAGATAGGCAATTAGTAAAACAGACACCCACCGAAGCTGATTCAGACATAAAGGGGGTCTCACAGAACCCAAATGCAGGAAGTCATCCCAGGAACTGCAAGCTCTTTGGACAGGCACTCTCTTTCTCTCTGGACTACAGTTTTTTCTCTTTGTAATCCTAATCTGTTACTCTTTACAGAAAATGCTTGGCTATCTTTTACAAGTCCCATTGTGACCACCAGCCCTGGATCTGCCTGCCCGAGTCTGACGATGCCAGTGCCCACCCCTGTAAAAGCGGTGTCCCCAGCCTTGGGAGCCCTTGTTTGGCTCAGCCTAGGTGATGAGCACGTTTTCCCAGGTTAGGCTTTCAGCCCTGGCCCATCACCATAATATGGGAGGAAGGGTTGGGTCACCTGGTTCAAACTGGGCAGCAGGAACACGCAGAGGGAAAATCCTAGGTGGGAGGTATGTGGGGAGCCAAGTACAAGTGGAGGAAGAAACTGTGAACGACGTTGAAACTTACAGGTGTCCTGAATAACTTACCCATCTAGGTTATCTCTGACTTTTGCTGTCTTTTTTTTTTTTTTTTTTTTTTGAGGTGGACTTTCACTCTTGTTGCCCAGCCTGGAGTACAATGGCACAATCTCGGTTTACTGCAGCCTCCACCTCCCAGCTTCAAGTGATTCCCTTGTCTCAGCCTCCTGAGTAGCTGAGATTACAGGCGCTCACCACACCCAGCTAATTTTTGTATTTTTAGTAGAGACAGGGTTTTACCCTGTTGGTCAGGCTGGTCTCAAACTCCTGACCTCAGGTGATCCACCCACGTCAGCCTCCCAAAGTGTTGGGATTACAGGCGTGAGCCACTCTTTTGTTGTCTTTGACTAGACTCTTTCTCAACTCTCTCGAGATATAAATTAAATTGTAGAAACTTCATAGCAATGCAAATAATTCCTGTTCACAGATATGCAGATTGTGTCTGGTGAATTACAACTGACTATTGCCTCGTGGATACTGACGAGTTTTGCATTCATTTCTAAAATCAGCATTCTTTATCTGACTAGTATTTGTGATACTTTGAGTTCTCCTTTGAATTGGTTGTAGTATTTTACTGGTTTCCTCATGAATTAAATCTTCATTTTCCTTTTCCATTTTTTTTTTTTGAGACAGGGTCTCACTTTGTCACCAAAGACTGGAGTGCAGTGGCACAGTCATAGCTCACTGTAACCTGGAACTCCTGGGCTCAAGTGATTGTCACCTCAGCCTCCTCAGAAGCTAAGACTACTACAGGTGTGTACCACCACACCCAGCTAATTTTTAAACTTATTTTTATTTTTTGTAGAGACAGGGTCTTGCTATGTTGCCCAGGCTGGTCTTGAACTGCTGGCCTCAAGTGATCCTTCCACTTCAGGCTCCCAAAGTGCTGGGATACAGGCGTGGCCACCATGCCTGGCAAAATTAAATCCTTGGCACATATTAATTTTGTATCATAGGAGAGTCATGATGATTACATCAACTTTTAAAATTTTATCAATAAATATAGACAAACCACACACTCATTTTCTTCTCTTTTCTTTTTGAGACAAAGCCTTGCTCTGTTTCCTAGGTTGGAATGTAGTGGTGTGATTATAGCCCATTTCGGCTTCCAAGTTCCGGGCTCAAGTGATACTCCCACCTCAGACTCCCAAGTAGCTGGGACTACAAACATGCACCACCATGCCCAGATAATTTTTGATGTTTCATAGAAACAGGGTCTTGCTATGTTACCTAGGCTGGTCTCAAACTCCTGGGCTCAAACAATCCTCCGGTCTCAACCTCTTACAGTGCTTGGACTACAGCCATAAGCCACTAGGCCCAGCCCTCATTTTCAAAACATTATTGGACTGGGCCCTGTAAATCATTACTGGGGGCACACGCTTATAGTCCCAGCTACTGGAGAAGCTGAGATGGGAGGATTGCTTGAACCCAAGAGTTTGCGGCTGCAGTAAGCTATGACTGTGCCACTGCACTCCAGTGTGGATGACAGAGCAAGGCTCTGTATCTTAAATAGAATAAAATAATAAAAATATTACTGATGCAGAGAAGAAAATTTAGAAAGATACATAAAAAATTGTTGGTGATTATCTGCGGAGAAAGGGAGTGAGTAAATTTCCATTTACTTTTCATTTTCTTTTTGTACCATTTTAATTTTTTTACTATGTTAATAGAATCTCAGTGGAAGACATCCAGGTAAAGGTTTATTGGCCATGTGGTTTAAAAAACACACACACACACAAAACTTTTCTATATTATAAAAGCATTCTGGCTGGGTGCGGTGGCTCATGCCTGTAATCCCAGCACTTTGAGACGCCAAGGCAGGTGAATCATGAGGTCAAGAGATCGAGACCTTCCTGGCCAACATGTTGAAACCCATCTCTACTAAAAATACAAATATTTTCTGGGTGTGGTGGCACTGCCTGCAGTCCCAGCTACTTGAGTGACTGTATGTATAGTCGTTAGTTGTTTGGACTTTTCTTTTTTTTTTTTTGAGATGGAGTCTCACTCTGTCACCCAGGCTGGAGTTCAGTGGCACAGTCTTGGCTCACTGAAACCTCTGATTCTCGGATTCAAGCAGTTCTCCTGCCTCAGCCTCCTGAGTAGCTGGGACTACAGGCAAAGAATACTGCCACACCCGCTGATTTTTGTATTTTTAGTAGAGACAATGTTTCACCGTGTTGACCAGGCTAGTCTTGAACTCCTGACCTCAGGTGATCCACTCCCTCTACCTCCCAAAATGCCAGGATTACAGGCCTGACCGAGCTATTGCACTCGATCCATACATTTATTTTTTGAGACGGAGTTTCACTCTTGTTGCCCAGGCTGGAGTGCAAGGGTGCCATCTCGACTCACCGCAACTTCTGCCTCCCAGGTGCAAGCGATTCTCCTGCCTCAGCCTCCAGAGTAGCTGGGATTACAGGCATGTGCCACCATACCCGACTAATTTTGTATTTTTTGTAGAGACAGGGTTTCTCCATGTTGGTCAGGCAGGTCTCGAACTCCCAACCTCAGGTAATCCGCCCACCTCAGCCTCCCAAAGCGCTGGGATACAGGCGTGAGTCACTGCACCTGGCATAACTTTTGTAAATTTTAAAGGAAAAAGCAAACCAAATAGGCAAAGCTACATCTTGGCATATTGCCCAAACCAGCCATGGGCAACCAGAGGTGGTTATGACATACTGCCTACTCTCAGGGAAGAGGCTAAGTTCACGCTCCACCCACAGGCATAGGGTTCCACACACCCACAACACCCCTCTTGCATCAGAAGCTGCTCAGGTGAGAGGACTTCCTCACTGTTCAACACCTGCCCCCTGGCAGCCCAACTCAGGGAACACTTGGTAGAAGATTCTGCCAGACTGGGAACATCCGCTCTACAAGCCATTCCTCCCCCGGCAACTAGAGAGGCATTCAGCCCTTGATGGCTTGCAGCTGAAAGGGGAGAGTCACTGCCAAACCATTTCTTGCACAATAATGCACTTCTGAGGCGGGTACACAAATTTTTGTCAATTGAATCGTGTCTTCCTCCTGACTTACATGATGGTCCAGATATGCTCTAGCTTTCATGCTCATGGGTGGGTTCTTGACTGGTAACGGCTCCCAACACTTAGTATTCTTCTGTCTCCATTAACCAATCTATAAATCAGTATTTAAGTACATAAGGATAGAATCTTTCTTCTAGTTCCTCCATCAGGCAAGCTTGGATGTTTGCCTCTGCTGTTTCCTTAGTGGGGAGGGAGGCCACATCCACAGGCAGCGGGGTCATCTCTTAGTCCCAGGAGCCTCCCTGACCTTTGGCCTGAGTGGTGCACTCCTCACATTTGGCACATCCGCACACAGGGGCTTCATTAATGAACTCCTGGCCAAGAAGGACAGATGAAGAGGAAAGACATGAGCCTGGTGCATTCTCTTGCTCACTGCATGCACTTAGCTGTTCTGGCTGGGACTGGCCCTTCCCATGCTTACCCTACACAGTCTCAGGCACCTTCTGAGTGTGGGACTCATGCTCCAGAGGGGTAAACACCTTCCCAAGCAGCAAGCCAGTGCTTGCCAACTGCTGTAGGGAGGGGGAGCCTCACCCTTAGTGCCACCCCTCAAGGATGCTTGAGCCCAGACCCCCCATGCGTCTGATCACATCACTTTTCCTATATCCAGGATCAAGTCAAAGCTACATGGCCTGGTCTTCGAGTCCCTTGCTTCTCAATCTGGTCCTAGCTACGTCTCTGGCACCATCTCCCTACACCATGTACCCCATGGTCTAACCACTTATTCACCCCATACACCACGGATTCTGACTTGTGCATAAGCCTGATGGCTGTTTTCCAAGTCCTCATAGCTGCCAACAACGCCTCATTTCAATGGCAGCCTCTCTGTTATTCACTGATGTCATCAGAATTGCACTATTGTAGATGCAGACGCAGGCAACACCAGTGCCCGTTCTAATGGAGGGCCTCACCCTGCTGCTCTCACCACTCCTGGGACGGCACCTGGGTGCACTTCACACAGACCGCTTTCCAGAATGGCTGTCTCCACTGGAGCAGCTGCATACCCCTCCTGCCTCCCCAAAGCTCACTGCTGTGGAGAGAGGACACATCATAGCATCTCGCTGCCAAAGTGACAACTACAATTATGTTTTGGCCGACAGCTGGAGATGGAGAGTGTGCAGATAGCCAAGGCCTCATGAGTCGCCATGACTCAGCACTTTTTGCTGCAAGTGCAGCCTGTAGGCAAGGAGGCCCATCCGGCCAGTCATCCAGGCCCTCCCTAGGTGGGCTGCCTGCTGGCCACAGACCTCAAGTTAGCACCTGGGACCCTCAGGCGAAGCCCTCCACTGGATGGTGATAGTTAATGCCCCCAAGGCCACCCCAGGACATAGAGGAGCAGAAGCATCAGGGTGGTCAACCGGAGGCAAGGCCCAGCCCCAGCCCCAGGGGAAAGGCACTTGGTTTCTAGGTAGTCAGGGGCCGGTCAAGCAGGGGGCTGAGATGCCCTAGGGTGAAGTCCACTATGCCGGGCAGCCTCACATGGGGCGTGTTTGTGATGGGCAGAGGGTCTCCACCGAGGCCTCAGGGCACCACCTCCGGGAGGTACCTCAGTGCTATGGACTGTGTGCAAAGGAGTACTATCAGTACAGGAACCAAAACCCAGTGGTAAAAACAACTTCAACAGCAAAAGCAGCAGCAGCAGCAGCAGCAGCAGCAGCAGTGTCCAGTATCAAGTCTGTCCACGTGCCGGACACTGGGCTAACCACTGTCCACATGTCACCCTTCACAACAACCCTGTGAGGTAGGTTCTGTAATTATCCCCATGTCACCAATGAGAAAAACTGAATCTCAGAGGGCGATTTGACCGAAGCCACATGGCTGAAAGAATGAAGAAAGAATCCGAACCCAGACAATCTGGCTTCAGAGCTCAGCTGACCTTATCCTGGCTTGGCCCTTTACACCCAGTTTGGCTGCAAGAATCTAAGAGACCTCCAGTGCATTCCTCACATAGAGTGAGTTGCGTTGGGGTCTCCAAGTAGACATTGGCCTGGGAGCCAAGATGTCACTGAGGAAACTCAACAATAGCTATTTCAGGTGACAGGTGCTGGGCTGTGGAATTGGAAGTGGGGGGATGTCAAGCTGCAAGAATTTCCTCATTGTGCATTTTTGTATGTTCAGCAGAACAAGCGTCATCAGAAAGCTGTTCTGTTGCCAGCGTCGCCCCTGGAGACAGAGGGCAGGAGCAGGAAGTGTCCTTTCTCTGTGACCGCAGGTCCTCCCAGGGCTTGCCTCTTACTCAGCCCTGCCCTGGGTTCCAGCCGAGGGCTCTGGGGGGTGGGTGGAGGTTCTCAGAGCGCTCCCAGGGGTACTGCTGCCCTTTGCAGGCTCCTTGTTGGGGCAGAACCTGCCTGTCCTCACATACTGCCCAAACGCATGCAGACTAGGATGCAGCAGGCTAGCAGCTCTGCTCAACACCCTTCGAAATGGGTGTGAAAGGCCAGCGGGGCCGGGGACACAGGAGTGTTCGTATTTTCAAGTGGCTGCTGCCCATGAATCACCAATTTCATTTTGTGCTCTCAGCTCTGCGAAGGCATCATTTCCAACCAGTCTCACATGGAGCGGGCCGCCAGAGCCTCTTAGTGGGGCTATAAATAGCAGATCATCAACTCACCTCCTCTGAGCTCATCACAGGCTCCTCGGTTTACTGCGCGTCTTCCAGCTGCCTGCACGTCACTGTCACTCAGATTTCCCAGGTGAAACCTGCCTGAGAGACTCAGGGCATGCTCTAGGTGGCTGCAGGGTTTTGGTTCCCAGAGCTGTTCAGGGTGACAGTGAGGGCAGACTTCTGAAGCACTTGACATTTAAGACGTCATAATTATAATCTCAGGTCTCTGTGCTCCTCTCCAATTAAATGCAGCAGGAAGGGTCTGTCATTTCTCTACGAGTCCCAGAAACCAAAGGCAAAAGACTCACCAAACACACACCCAGAGTAAGCCATACAGAATGGGTAGCAGCAGATGAAAGGCTTCATGCTGGTCAGGCATGGTGGCTGTCGCCTGTAATCCCAGCACTTTGAGAGGTGGGGGCAGGCAGATCACTTGAGGTCAGGAGTTCGAGACCAGCCTGGCCAACATGGTGAAATCCTGTCTCTACTAAAAATACAAAAAATAAGCTGGGCATGAATTCCAGCTACTCAGGAGGCTGAAGTATGAGAATCGCTTGAACTTGGGAGGCGGAGGCTGCAGCGAGCCAAAATCACACAGCCTGGGCAACAGAGGAAAATTCTGTATCAAAAAATAAAACAACAAGAACAAGAAGAAGAAAAAGAAAGGCTTCATGTCTTCCTGTGGACTTACCTCCTTACACTCTGAATGAAATACTTTATGGCTCTCTGGCTTCAGAAGTGAGACTGCATTTTTTAGTATTATCCTTAGAGCTTCCACACAGAGTCTCCCCGTGTGTCAGGCACTGTGCCCAGCCTCTGCATGCAGCATCTCATCAAGTCATCACAAAGCCATATTGAGTTAAGTGCCAGCAACATTTTCTTTCTATAGGTGAGGAGGCTGTTGCTCACAGAGGACAGGTGACTCAGCCAGAGCCACAAAGACAGGATTTTTTTTTTTTTTTTTGAGATGGAGTCTCACTCTGTCACCAGACTGGAGTGCAGTGGCGCGATGTCAGCTCACTGCAACCTCTGACTCCCTGGTTCAAGCAATTCTCCTGCCTCAGTCTCCTGAGTAGCTGGGATTACAGGCAAGTGCCACCATGCACAGCTAATTTTTGTATTTTTAGTAGAGACAGGGTTTCACCGTGTTGACCAGGATGGTCTCTATCTCCTGACCTCGTGATCCATCTGCCTCGGCCTCTCAAAGTGTTGGGATTACAGGCATTACAGGCGTGAGCCACCTCGTGTGGCCCAGAGACAGGATTTCGATCCAGGGCTGCTGGATTATAGAGCCCAGTCTCTGAACCACCACCCTTTCTGACTCCTGCAAAAGAGGGCTGTGTTTATGTCCATGCATGTGTCTACATATGAGGGATGTGAATGGCAGTCTCCTTTCCCAGTTCCACATACTCCATCACTGTAAGTAGGAGCCAGATGCTCACAGATTCACCATCACCCAAGCCCCAGGCCCCTTTGTCACTCGGAATGTCCCATGTCATCATCTCCCAATCTGATTTTCTTCTAAGGTTGCCTTGCAGGCCAGGCACCAGTCTTCAGGCAGCTCTCCTGGCCCAATTTTATGGTCTTCTTCATGTCTTCTTCCCCTCGGCCCCCAAACAGGCAGAGGCCAGGTGGGAGTCCCCTCAGGGGAGCCTCCCACAGTCTATTTCCCTTCTCCTTCCCTAGACTCTCAGCCCCATATTTGGGGTCTGTTCCCCTTTAGCAGCCTGTCACAATGGCCTCTGCACCTGTGGAATGTTTTGAGAATGCAGATTCCTAGTTCCCCTCCCTCAAACCACCTGAAACAAAATCTTGAAGGGCAGAGGCTGGGGGGTGGATTTTTACAAAGCTCCCCCAGTGATCTGATCTAGAGCCCCCTGGACTTTAGCCTCTCCCTCTCTGAACCTTCTGACCTACAGCTATCAGCTTAATTTTTCTTTTTTCTTTCTTTTTTTTTTTTTGAGACAGAGTTTCACTCTGTTGCCCAGGCTGATTGCAGTGACACAATCTTGGTTCACTGCAACCTCCACCTCCCATGTTCAAGCAATTCTCCTGCCTCAGCCTCCCAAGTAGCTGGAACTACAGGCACCTGCCACCATACCCAGCTAATTTTTGTATTTTTATTTATTTAGAGACAGGGTCTTGCTCTGTCGCCCAGGCTCGAGTGCAGTGGTGCAATCTTGACTCACTGCAACCTCTGCCTCCAGAGTTCAAGCAATTCTGTTGCAGTCTCCCAAGTAGCTGGGACTATAGGTGGCTGACACCACACCTGACTAATTTTCGTATTCTTAGTAGAGATGGGGTTTTGCCATGTTGGCCAGGGTGGTCTTGACTCCTGACCTTAGGTGATCTGCCAGTCTTGACCTCCCGAAGTGCTGGGATTCCAGGCATGAGCGCCTGGCCAACTTAATTTTCTGAAAGCAGAGTTTATCCCATGTCACTCTCCTGCTCAAAATCCTTGGGTGGCTCCCCACTGCCTGCAGAAAAGTCCAAAGACCTTGGTGTGGCATTCAAAGCCCTATCCATCTGGTCCACTCACTCTCCTGCTAACTCTTCCCTGACACGGGCTCCCATCCCGGCTTTCCGGCCATCACTTGTCTGAACTTTCTGTATCAGGGCACAGCGGAGCCCACTGAAATGGCAGTGATCCTTTTCTAAGACTGTGAGCTCTTCAGTAAGAGGAATGACTGCTAAAGTGTCCTCAGCTTTACATGAAGTGGGTTTTGTGTGGCCTGCAGATGAAAGGAGATCCACCAGCAGATGCAACACAATAGCAGTAATGTGTAAACACAGGAGAACAGAGAAGTGGGGCTCACAGCGAATTCAAAGGAGATGATATTTCAGCTCCCATTCCTTTCATTCGCACGCAGGAGATGGACCAGACTTTCAAGCACTGGGGGCAAAGGCCGTGCTGACAAGCGCCTCTCCAGCTTTTCCATCCCCTATTCCAAGACAAAAGCAGACAGGCACATTTGCATCTTGTTGCTATTGTTCAAAAGGTCGAGAGTATTTTACCAATACCTTTAAACAAAGTGTGCGTTGAGACTTTGATCCACTTCCCATAAAGAAACATCTACCCCAGAGTAAAATAAAAAGCAACCGTGTTGACTGAAGGCAAGATTTCAGAACAGGGCCTGGAAAGTATCCCCTGAAAGTGCTTCAGAGTGAAAACTGATGCAGAAGAACTTCTGGTTAAACGGGGCAGAGGAGTCTCTGGTGAATCTGTCTGCTCCCTCCCAAGCCCTACTAAAAACAACTACACAGGAGTAAAAAGAGTTAAGAAAAAAATATTAAAAAAAAGAAACCTGATGAGGTCTCTGAGAATAGGAGAGGAGACAGCAGCAGACGGAGGATGTCACCACATTTTTGGAAGGTGGGAAGCAGAGGAAGGAGCGGTGAGTCACACAGAAGCAAGGAGGGAGCTGAGGCCTGATCCTGCAGAGGGGAGGAGAGAGGCAGGCGGAGCTGCTGGGAGACAGGACCGCACTGTGAATGGCAGGAGAGTGGTGCCTGCCTGAGAGCCAGGTGAGAGGCCCAGGTGGGCAGTGGGCTGTCTGCTCCCGCCCACTCTTGAAGGAGATCTGAGGTTTACTCCCTGGGGACTTTGGATCAGCACATCCGGCAGAAGTGCAGGTGTGGCATGTAGAACTGGAAATATGGGGAACAAAAGGAAATCTAGATACTAAAATTTAAACTCTTAGCCCCTTTCCTCACCCTGCTTCTAGATAACCTCAGAGCGGGCACATTTCTCAGCCCTTCACCCTTCCCAACCTGCTCCCTACTCCACAGGTGGCAGGCCCCCTGCCACCTGAAAATGAAAGAACCCTTTTCTGTAGAAACTGAGCAGGTTCAAAGCGAAGACCTACAGATACAGGCATTTGGGGCCTTCAATGGAAGAGCAGTTCAGGGGCAACCACCCTGCACAGGGAAGTGCCCCGTTCACCAGGCTCTTCCCAAGCAGCCTGGCCATCCATCTAGTCATCTCTTCAGCACGTAATCTTTTAATATGATCAGAGAGGAGAAGAAAACTTTTTAAATGTATAAAATTCTCAGGGAGAGAAAATAAGATTTTTTTTTTTTTTTGAGATGGAGTTTCGCTCTTGTTACCCAGGTTGGAGTGCAATGGCGTGATCTCGGCTCACCACAACCTCTGCCTCCTGGGTTCAGGCAATTCTCCTGCCTCAGCCTCCTGAGTAGCCGGGATTACAGGCATGCACCACCATGCCCAGCTAATTTTTTTGTATTTTTAGTAGAGACGGGGTTTCACCATGTTGACCAGGATGGTCTCGATCTGTTGACCTCGTGATCCACCTGCCTCGGTCTCCCAAAGTGCTGGGATTACAGGCATGAGCTACTGCGCCCGGCCGAAAATAAGATTTGTATCTCAAGGTTCATTATCATGAACTGGCAGAAAACCGGGGATAAAGAAAAGACCCTAAAAGGATCCAGAAAGAAAACAGGTGAATCCAAAGGATCAGGAATGAGAATGGCAGCAGGCTTCTCAGGAGCAGTGCTGGAAGCTGGAGCAGAATGGAGCGCAGGTCTTCAGAATTCTGAGTGAGAATGATTTACAGCCTAGAGATCCAAGCCCAAAACCATTAGTCAGGAGGAGTGGTACAGTAAAAAAGTATTTTCAGAAAACAGAGATCACAAATAGTTTGCATGTCAGGCTCCCTCTCTCAGGAAGTCCTCCACCCAAACAAGAAAGTAATCTAAGAAGGAGGAAGCTGTAGGCCAGGTGCATGGCTCATGCCTGTAATCCCTGCACTTTGGGAGGCTGAGTTAGGCAGATCACTTGAGGTCAGGAGTTCGAGACCAGCCTGGCCAACATGGTGAAAACCTCATCTCTAATAAAAATACAAAAAATTAGCTAGGCATGGTGGCAAACACCTGTAATCCAGCTACTAAGAAGTCTGAGGCAGGAGAGTTGCTTGAACCCAGGAGGTGGAGGTTGCAGTGAGCTGAGATCGTGCCATTGTACTCCATCCTGGGTGACAGAGTGAGACTCTGTCTACAGAAAAAAAAAAGAGAAGATGGCCATCTAGCAGCAGCTCAGGGTTGCAGCTCCCAGTGAAGGCACAGGGAGTGAGTGGACACCAGACTTCCAGACGAAGTTTTGTTGCCTACAGACCAGGAGATTCGCAGCGGAGGAGCCCTATGGGTTGCCAGCGTGACTCTTTTGGCCGGTGCGGCTGTTTTGCCGGCAACCCGGCATGGTGGTTCTCAGTGTGGAGTATGCGGGACTGGGTGCCCTTTTAGTTGGCGTTTGGAGCTCCGAGAAGGCAGAGTCATCCATTCAGCTGATTGAGAAGGGGACTGAAGCTGGGAGCCCGACTGGGAGATTCCCGGGCAGAAAAGCACCACGAATCTCAGCGCAGCTGTTTCAGCCAGCACAGTGGCCGCACGGGAAATTGCATAGATCCTGGCGCCTTTTCAGCGGGTGACTGGGGCACCTGGGAGAGAATCGACCGTTCAATTAGGAAAAGAAAAAAAGGGGGCTCCAAGGCTGGGAGCCAGGTGATCGGGCTTGGCTGGTTCCACCCCCACAAAAAAACAGCAATTAGAAACGCTGAGGGTTGAGAGTTTCACAGCAAGCACCGCTGAACCTGGGAAGGTCCAGCTCTGTGAGGGAGGGGCATCCTCCGAAGGAAAACAAAGAAACAGAAATAACATCACCACCAACAAGCTGGACATCCACTCAGAGACCCAATCTGAAAGTCAACAACTAGAAAGACGACAGGTGGATAAATCCACAAAGATGTGAAGAAACCAGCACAAAAAGGCTGAAAACATCCAAAATCAGAATGCCTCTCCTCCTTCAGGGGATTGTAGCTCCTCATCAGTAAGGGAACGAGGCCTGATGAAGAATGAGTGTGATGAATTGTCAGAATCAGGCTTCAGAAGGTGGATAATAAGAAACTTCTGTGAGCTAAAAGAACATGTTCTAACCCAATGCAAAGAAACTAAGAACCTTGAAAAAAGGTTTGACGAAATCCTAACGAGAATAGACAATTTAGAGAGGAATATAAGTGAATTAATGGAACTGAAAAACACAACACGAGAACGTCACAAAGTATGCACAAGTTTTAACAGTTGAATTGATCAAGCAGAAGAAAGGATATCAGAGGTCGAAGACCAACTCAATGAAATAAAACGAGAAGACAAGATTAGAGAAAAAAGGATAAAAAGGAATGAGCAAAGTCTCCAAGAAATATGGGACTATGTGAAAAGACCTAATCTACGTTTGATAGGTGTACCTGAATACGACAAAGAGAATGAATCCAAGCTGGAAAATACTCTTCAGGATATTATTCAGGAAAACCTTCCCAACCTAGCAAGGCAGGGCAATATTCAACTCCAGGTAATACAGAGAACACCACAAAGATATTCCTCAAGAAGAGCAACCCCAAGGCACATAACTGTCAGATTCACCAGGGTTGAAATGAAGGAGAAAATGCCAAGAGCAGCCAGAGAGAAAGATCAGGTTACCCACAATGGGAAGCCTATCAGACTCACAGCAAATCTCTCAGCAGAAACCCTACAAGCCAGAAGAGTGTGGGGGCCAATTTTCAACATCCTTAAAGAAAAGAACTTTCAGCCCAGAATTTCATATCCAGCCAAACTAAGCTTCATAAGCGAAGGAAAAATAAAATCTTTTGTGAACAAGCAAGTACTCAGATTTCATCATCACCAGGCCTGCTTTACAAGAGCTTCTGAAAGAAGCACTATACATAGAAAGGAACACCCAGTATCAGCCTTTCCAAAAATATACCGAAAGGTAAAGAGCATCAACATAACAAAGAATTTATATCAACTAATGGGCAAAACAGCCAGCTAGCATCAAATGGCAGTATTAAACTCACATATATTATTATTAATCCTAAATTTAAATCGACTAAATCCCCCAATCAAAAGACACAGACAGGCAAATTGGATAAAAAGCCAAAACCCATCTCACATGCAAGGATACACAAAGACTCAAAACAAAGGGATGGAGGAAGATTTACCAACCAAATGGAGAGCAAAAATAAATAAATAAATAAAAAGCAGGAGTCGCAATTCTTGCCTCTGATAAAATAGACTTTAAAGCAGCAAAGATCAAAAGAGGCAAAGAAGGACACTACATAATGGTAAAAGGAACAATACAACAAGAAGAGCTAATGATCCTAAAAATATATGCACCCAATACAGGAGCACCCAGATACATAAGACAAGTTCTTAATGATTACAAAGAGACTTAGACTCCCACACAATAATAGTGGGAGACTTTAACATCACATTGTCAATATTAGACAGATCAATGAGACAGAAAATTAACAAGGATATCCAGGACTTGAACTCAGACCCGGAACAAGTAAACTTAATAAACATTTATAGAACTCTGCACCCCAAATACACAAAACATACATTCTTATCAGTACCACATCACACCTACTCTAAAAGTGCCTACATAGTTGGAAGTAAATCACTCCTCAGCAATTGCACAGCATTTCACAGGTTTAAATGAAATATTGGTTGGCTGCTTGTTTGTTATTTTCTTCCCTTATTCCTTCCTGTCTCCATTGTTAAGCACATTTATTGCCATAAAAGAGGTTTTGAATACCCTTTTTTAGACTGCATTCTAGCCTGGGCAATAAAGCAAGACTTCCGTTTTCTCTCCCTCTTTCTCGCTTTCATTCTTTTTTTTTCTTTCTCTCTTTTTTTTTTAAAAAAGAATGAGGAAGCTGTGCCTGAGAGGCCAGGGGACCCTAGAATGATGGTGAAGGAGACCCTGGCCAATAGCTAGGCAGTAGGCCTTCAAGCTAGAGGGTAGAAGACGTCAGGAGAAAGACGAGCTAGAGGGGTTACCCCACAGGTGTGAGTAGGTGGAAAATGATATTGAGAGACTGTTGGAGAGTTTCGAGAATTACAGGTGCTCCTCGACCTGTGTTGGGGTTATGTCCAAATAAACCCATTATAGGCCAGGCACCCCTATATAGGTGACTCAGGACTGGAATCCCAGCACTTTGGGAGGCCGAAGTGGTTAATCACCTGAGATCAAGAGTTTGAGACCAACTTGACCAACATCGAAAAACCCCGTTTCTACTAAAAATACAAAATTAGCCAGGCATGGTGGTGCATGCGTATAATCCCAGTTACTTGGGAGGCTGAGGCAGTGAGCCTAGGCTCTGCGATGAGCTGAGATTGTGCCATTGCACTCCAGCCTGGGCAACAAAGCCAAACTCCATCTCAAAAAAAACAAAACAAAACATTGTAAGTTGAATATATCGCTGGGCATGGTGGCTCACACCTGTAACCCTAGCACTTTGGGAGGCTGAGGCGGGTGGATCACCTAAGGTCAGGAGTTCAAGACCAGCCTGGACAACATGGTGAAATTTCATCTCTACTAAAAATACAAAATTAGCTGGATGTGGTGGTGCATGCCTGTAATCCCAGTTACTCAGGAGGCTGAGGCAGGAGAATCACTTGAACCTGGGAGGCAGAGGTTGCAGTGAGCTGAAATCATGCCATTGTACTCTAGCCTGGGCAATAAAAGTGAAACTCCATCTCAAAAAAAAAAAAGTTGAATATATCGTAAATCAAAAATGCATTGAATACATCTAATCTACTGAAATTTAGCCTGGCCTCCCTTCAGTGTGCTCAGAATGCTGACAGCCTACACTGGGGCCAAATCATCTAACACCAAAGCCTATTTTATAATAAAGTGTTCATAAACTTAATTTATTATTTAATAAATTATCATGTAATTTATTAAATACTGTACTGAAAGTGAAAAACAGAATGGTTATATGGGCACTTGTAGGTCTGTTGGCCCCACAGGGTCGTGGGGTGTCCCTTATGTTGTGTTGAGGTGCAGGATCTGAGAAGTAAAGAGACAGGACACTGAAGAACTGGTGAAGAGCATCTGGACTTGGGGGGGGCACACCACCTGTGAGTGGAGATCAGTGGTGGCCCCCAAATGCCCAAGAGCATCTGTATTTATTAGGTACAAGCAGGGGGCAGTGTCGTGTGCGAGGTCATCATCTATAGGCTTAGTAATAGGGCATGTATAATCACGTGAGTAAGCAAGGGGACCACCCCATTATGTCACCTGGTCAGAGAGGTGGGCTGTATGCAGCAGGGGGGCGTGCCGTGCGCAGCAGTAGCGGGTCATGTACAGAAAAGGGGTCCACCCCCATTAGGTCACTGAGGCAAGGAGGTGGGCTGTGTACAACACTTCTTATCTGGGGGTTGAAGACTTCAAAGGATTTCTAATAGAAGGATACTGTAAGCTTAATGCAGTGGGAGCTTACAGACTTGTGCTCTTCTCTTAAGATATTTATGGGAGAATGATTTGAGCTAGCACAGAAGTAAGAAAAGACTGACAGGGTGTACAGCCGCTGTGATTGGTCACACCAGAGGGGTTCTTCTCCCTCGGTTACTTCCAGGATCTCAGGCCTGAGGCCTACTTTCCACAGGAACTGGATGCAAGGTACTACAAGTCCTTTAACAGGAGGAGAGGCACTTGCTCCGAGCCTGCCATACAGCATATGCCCTTTCAGGCAGGGACGCCACCGCCTGGATCTTTGATTCTCGTCCTGCTCTGGCTGTTTTCCCATGTACTGCTTCTGTTCTGTGACTGCTCTAGGCATTCCTCCTACTACAAACTACTATATAGTCATCTAGAAGAATTATATAAATCAGCACTAAATGTGTCAATACAGCTCTGACTACAATACCTATATGATTATATAGAAAGTTGTTTTTTTTTTTGCCGGAGTTTCGCTCTTGTTACCCAGGCTGGAGTGCAATGGCGCGATCTCGGCTCACCAGAACCTCCACTTCCTGGGTTTAAGCAATTCTCCTGCCTCAGCCTCCCGAATAGCTGGGACTACAGGCGCGTACCACCATGCCCAGCTAATTTTTGTATTTTTAGTAGAGACGGGGTTTCACCATGTTGACCAGGATGGTCTTGATCTCTTGACCTCGTGGTCCATCCACCTTGGCCTCCCAAAGTGCTGGGATTATAGGCATGAGCCACTGCGCCCGGCCCTATATAGAAAGATTATATAGAACTAAGTAGATATAAGTATTAACTATGATTATATAAACTAGATATATGTAAGCAGTAAGTTATACTTCAAGCACTAATTCTATAAACTAGTATATGATTATATATGCAGGATTATATAAAGGAAACAGCTGAGCAATAACACTATAAACTAGGATATTCTTCAGGCACTGGTTGGCCTGGGGTCTGGACAGTTCTCCTTCCTCAGTGCCCATGGGGGGTGTTGCCCACAGGTACTAGAAGTACAATTTCTACTGAATGAGTTATTGCTTTCATACCATCTTAAAGTCAAAAAGCAGTAAATCACACCATTGTAAATTCGGGACCATCTGCAGTAATAGGTTTCTCAAAAACTGAATAACTAAAAGCAAGGCAATTCATACTTACGAAAACACACATGCATAAACTGTAAAAGAAAATAAGTGCAACACCAGAAATTTACATAGGACAGAAGTGGTGGCTCACTTTGTAATCCCAGAACTTTGGGAAGCCAAAGCAGGACCACTTGAACCCAGGAGTCTGAGACCAGTTTGCGCGACACAGTGAGACCTTGTCTAAAAAAAAAAACAAAAAATTACATAGACATGATCATGTAAACATTGAACATTGATTTAACCAAAGACTGAATTAAACAGAATTTAATAAACAGTGCTGGGAAGATGGGGGAAGGGAAAGGAGGATGCAGGTGGTCATGGGTTAAAAAAAAAATTCTCATCTCCTGTAATTACAAGAAAGTGAGTAATGCCAGCAGGGTGTGGTGGCTCACACCTGTAATCCCAGCACTTTGGGAGGCTGAGGTGGGCAGATCACCTGAGGTCAGGCATTGGAGGCCAGCCTGGCCAACATGGCGAAACCCTGTCTCTACTAAAAATACAAAAATGAGCCGGTCTTGATGGTAGGTGCCTGTAATCCCTGCTACTTGGGAGGCTAAGACAGGAGAATCGCTTGAACCCGGGAGATGGAGGTTGCAGTGAACTGAGATTGTGTCACTGCACTCACACTCCTGGGCGACAGAGCGAGACTTGTCTCAAAAAAAAAAGGGTAATGTCCAAAACTGACAAATCAACAAAATAGCAGTATAGGCATTTTTAGGAATATTGGAGGTGGTTTAAACTGGAAGAAACAATGGAAAGAGATGAGCTGTCTACCTCTGGGGATCAGAGCAGGGTGGGATTGAATGGGATTGGGTGGAACATTGCACTGCTATTTTTCATCACATGACTTTTAGTACTTTTGACTTTTTTTTTTTTTTAAGTTGGGGTCTCGCTCTGTCACCCAGGCTGAAGTGCAGGGTAGGATCATAGCTCACCTATGATCATACATACAACACCAGAGCTCATACAGTCCTCCCACCTCAGCCTCTCAAGTAGCTATGACTCAAAGTGCACGCTGCCATTCCCAGCTAATTTTTTTTTAGAGACAAGTTCTTGCTATGTTGCTCAGGCTGGTCTAGAATTCTTGGCTTCAAGTGACCCTCCCTCCTTGGCCTCCCAAAGTGCTGGTATAACACACATGAGCCACTGCACCCAGCCTCTTTTGATTTTTAATTATTGTGCGCAGTTACATTATTTTCACAAAAACAAAAAGTAATTTTTTTTTTCCTTGAGACAGAGTCTTGCTCTGTTGCCCAGGCTAGAGTGCAGTGGCACAAACTCAGCTCACTGCAACCTTCGCCTCCCTGGTTTAAGCAACTCTCCTCCCTCAGTCTCCCAAGTAGCTGGGATTACAGGTGCCCACCACCACACCCGGCTAATTTTTTGTATTTTTAGCCAAGACTGAGTTTCACCATGTTGGTCAGGCTGGTCTCGAACTCCTGACCTCATGATCCACCCACCTCGGCCTCCCAAGGTGCTAGGATTACAAGCCTGAGACACCGCACCCAGCAACAAAAGGAAATTTTTTTTTTTTTTTTAATTGAGTCAGAGTCTCATTCTGTTGCCAGGCTGGAGCGCAGTGGTGTGATCTCAGCTCACTGCAACCTCCACCTCCTGGGTTCAAGTGATTCTTCTGCCTCAGCCTCCCAAATAGCTGGGATTACAGGTGTGTGCCACCACAGCCAGCTAATTTTTGTATTTTTAGTAGAGATGGGGTTTCACCATTTTGGCCAGGATAATCTCGATCTCCTGACCTTGTAAATGCTGGGATTATAGGTGTGAGCCACGCCTGGCCCAAAAGGTAATTTTTAAAAGAAAAAATTTAAACTGAGAAAAACAAAATAGCAAAAAGTGTTAGTCATTGATACTTACGTCTCTGATTTATTTTCATTCTGCTGACTTTTCTCTTTATCTTCTTTTTTTTTGAATTGGAGTCTCGCTCTGTTGCCCAGGCTGGAGTACAGTGGCCTGATCTCGTCTGACAGCAACCTCCTCCTCCCAGGTTCGAGTGATCCTCCTGCCTCAGCCTCCTAAGTAGCTGGATTACAGGCATATGCCACCATGCCTGGCTAATTTCTTTTGTACTTTTAGTAGAGACAAGGTTTCACCATGTTGGCCAGATAGATCTCGAACTCCTGACCTCAAGAGATCTGCCCACTTCAGCCTTCCAAAGTGAGGAAGGAGACTCCCTTCTCCGAGCCTGTGCTTGGAGAAAAGGAGGAAGTAAGAGTTAAAGGTCAGCCAGATGAGGTCAGTGGAAGGACTGGTTGGCGCCGCTGACCGGCTCTAGAGGTTAAAGATTAAACCCCCTACTCCTAACCACAGTCCTATCTATAGATCGCAGACATGGGATGGAGGAATTTTCCCCGGAAGGCATTGTTCTTGCTCAACTGCTCAGACCCCTACCTAGTCACGTCCCCTACACTTGCCTAATTGATCACGACCCTCTCACATGTGCACCCCTTAGACTGTAAGCCTTTGAAAGGGCTAGGACTTTCTTTGTCGAGGAGCTTGGTTGTTAGGCTTGAGCCAGCTGCAGCTCCTGGCCAAATAAAACTGCCACTTCCACCCCCAGTTCGTTGCTAAGAGGTTTTCTTCGAGGCCACTCCTGTTACAAAAGTACTGGGATTATAGGCATGAGCCACTGGGCCCAGCCCCAGTGCTTAACTCTTTATTTATTTATTTATTAATAGAGACAGGGTTTCACCGCGTTGGCCAGGCTGGTGTCAAACTCCTGACCTCAGGTGATCTGCCCACGACGGGAGTGTTCGTGGAAGGGGACCCAAACATAGAGTCCCCCCAGTGCTTAACTCTTGATTGGAAAATATGATAGAGTTGCCAGATAAAATATATTTAGGATATGCTTACACTAATTATTATTATTTTTTGGAAATTCAAATTTAACTCATCCTTTTATATTTTTATATTCTATTTGTTTGCTAAATCTGGAACCCTAAAAAGTGGACTCTTGTTTTCTCTAAACCCACAAGCTAGGACTGTGACCAAAGAGAGATACTGGAACCAGGAAGTTCTTCTGCAATTAATATTCACAACTAACTGACTAAACTTTCTGGTCGAGGCTGAGCACTGAGCGGTGATTTGGTATCTAGTACAGATGTGCATGGTGCGATGCCAGTCAGCCTCTGGCCAATCTCTGGGAGCCTAGAAGCATACGTAGTGCAGGTCTTGCCCCGTGACCTGCAGCAGCACACCCGCCTCCCTGCCCCTTTCCCCTCCGTCTGGTCCTCCTCTCTCCATCTGTCCTGAGGGCTTAGGAGCTGAGCCCAAGGCTTCTGCAGGCTATTACCATGCCCGGGATGCATTCTTCCTCCTGAGGGGGAGCAGGGCAGGATGAGAATCGACCTCAATTTAGCTAAATTCAGGAGTGAGATGACATCCCTGTCACTGTCTTTTGCTTTTTATGGAAAAAGCTATCTCTTTAGGCAAATTTCTTACACAGTTGCTTAATGTTGTCTACAACGTGCTTTATTTAAGAGTTTCACTCTCAGAGGAGGATTTTGTTCTTCAGTTGTGGAGTGATCTCTACCACTGATGGCTAAAGGTAGGAATGGAATAATTTTCTCCCTTTTATGTTTAGGAAGCTATCCTTTGGTGTTAATAGAATTAACTGTTAAGGAAACTGCCAGGGACAATGGCTCATGCCTGTAATCCCAGCACTTTGGGAAGTCAAGGCGGGCAGATTACAAGGTCAGGTGATCGAGACCATCCTGGCTAACATGGTGAAACCCTGTCTCTACTAAAAATACAAAAATAAGCCGGGTGTGGTGGCACGTGCCTGTAATCCCAGTTATACGGGAGGCTGAGGCAGGAGAATCACTTGAACCCGGGAGGTGGAGGTCGAAATGAGCCGAGATTGTGTCACTGCACTCCAGCCTGGGCAGCAGAGTGAGACTCCATCTAAAAAAAAAAAAAAATACTAAGGAAACAGATGAGTCCTCCTGAAAGCTAAAATCATCTCCAGAATATATAAATATGTAATTTGGAAATACACAAACATAAGTTTATATGGTGAAAGAGAAACAGCTAAAATCTGGATATTTACAAATACAGAAGAATATAAATATAAAGCATTTTTATTGTTTTGACATTAATCATTTCTTTTTTTGAGCAGATGTTAAAGCACGGAAAGCCATACCCCAAAATATGACGCTTTAGCATGCTGAGTGCTTTGAAAACTGAAAGGCCTCAGAAATAAGCCTCAGCGCAGGGTCTCCCTCTGACCTCCCCCTACCTCCCTGTCTCTCTGACCCTATCTCTCCCCAAGTACAGAATGGAGCTGTTCTCTGACGTTCCCTTATCTACCCAGAAACTGGAGCCCCAAAGAGGAACACAACTGCCTTTGAACCCTTCCCTGAAATTTTCTTAGCCAGAGAAAATTAAAACTTCTATCACAGAGGAAGAGAATGAACATAAAACACCATAGCTACAGCCCAATCTTCATCCCAAACCATTGTTTGTTCTCCTGCCCCATTCAATTGCCAGGATCATTCACAAGATCAAGTTTGCCTTCTGGGTCCATTCATTCTCCACTAAAAATCTTTTACTCCTACACTCTCATCTCTCCTTCCTCTATGAAGAAGTGTCTATCAACATTTAGACCTCAGTGGGTTATTGGGTAATCATTCTCATGCAGTTCCCCTGTGCCCTGCATGGTAAATAAATTTGTATGCCTTTTTCAGTTGTCCCAGGTTTATTAGAAATCATTCAGCATTGCAGAAAAGATTCATACAGGTCCTCGAGGCGTTTTGAAATCCATCCCAACTGTAGGATGAGTGACCTGCAGGTTGGACAGACTGCCGAAATCCAAAAGCTTCAGCATTTCCTTAATGTCAGGATCTACTTCTGTGATCTCCTGATCCAGGGCTGAAACCTCAAGAACATAATTGTCTCTCCTTTCTCTCTCCTCCTCCTGCAGCTTGATGGAGATACCTCTTACTGGGCCTTTCTGAATCCACGTCATCAGACTCGTGACGTAGCCTGCTATCTTGTTGCGGAGCTTCTTGCTAGGGATGATGGCAATCTCCTCACACATACGCCTGTTTGTGTGGAAGTTGTTGCCCAGGCACGTATAGTACTTTTCTATGATGACCCGGGCTGCCTTCTTCACACTTTTGGTTTGAATGTGGCCCATGTTGGTGGGTCCTTGGTGAAAGAGCGCCTTTTGTCATTTTCAGTGAACCTTCAGAAGGTAAAGGGGGAAGCTTTCCCTCTTCACCCCTACAGTGTCAACAACAGCCAGCCAGGCAACAGTTTCAGAAACCTGCATGGGATTAAGATGATTAGCCACGTGGTTCTATTCTACAAATTAGTGGTCAGAATAACAAGAGTTTATTAGGAGGCTGAGGTGAGATAATTGCTTGAGTTCAGGAGTTTGAGACCAGCCTGGGCAACACAGTAAGACCTTGTCTCTATTTTAATAAAAATAAAATAAAATAAAAATATTTAAGTTTGCGTAAACATTTTCTTTCTTTTTTTTGTTTTTGAGATGGAGTCCCACTCTGTTGCTCAGGCTGGAGTGCAATGGTGCAATCTTGGCTCAATGCAACCTCCAGCTCCTGGGTTCAAGCAGTTCTCTTGCCTCAGCCTCCTGAGTAGCTGGAATTACAGGCAATCGCCACAACACCTGGCTAATTCTTTTGTATTTTTAGTAGAGACGAGGTTTCTCCATGTTGGCCAGGCTGGTCCTGAATTCCTGACCTCAGGTGATCCGCCTGCCTCAACCTTCCAAAGTGCTGGGATTATAACTGCGCCCGGCCTGCTTAAACATTTTCAAAGCTTTCTAAAAACAAATGGCTTTGGCCATATAAATATTTTTAAATCGTAAAATAATCATGTAAAATACTCAGGTTAAATCATGCATTTATTGTAGAGCTGTGAGATGACCATTCTTTTGAATCCTCCCAATTATTTAGGAGCTCAGTTCAATCCAAGGAAGTCTTTGTATCTTTCAGACAGCTCTTATTGTTTAAAGGTCTTCCATTTAAAGACAAAATCTAGCTTTAAGTAGCTCTCTAGTCCTATGCTTGCCTTGAAAATTAAGGAAGAACAAGCCATCTTCTACAAAACAGTCTTCAAAGGTCTGAAGACATTACAGGGCCTCTGGAACTGCCTCCTCCGCTTCACATGTAAGCTGGTCTGCAGTTCTCCTCCATCTTCCTGTGAGCACTTTAGTTCACCGATGCTCGCAGGCTTAAAATAAGACACTCACACTGAAGTTCTCCTGGTATGGCCTGAGGCTAGCAAAACAGTGAAGGACTGACTTTCTGTGATCTGAAAGCTGAACATCTATCCAGTAAAGTAAAAGCTAGTAGAATACTGTTTTAAGAATACCAATTTTAAGGTTTCTGGCAGAGAAAAGACTTGTCTGATACAACAGAAAAAAAAAGCTTATGTTTACAACAGGTTAAAACATTCGTGCATTTTGATATAGAAATGCCATTTTATACTAAAACAAGTGATGGATTAACAGACAAGCCTCGAAAAAACAGAAGCTAACCAACCTGATTTTAATCGTCACCACCTTTGTGGTCAGGAGCTGGGGAACTTCCTGCAGTAAGAAGCCTTAGGGAAGTGCAATTTCCATTGCCTTGTGATGTTAATTTAAGGCAATTATCATAAATAAATTCCCCAAAAAGTTTTGCGAATTATTTGTCCTTGTGAAAGCCCAGTGCTGTTGGTGAGTCGGGATGCTTGGAGAAGCCCTAGGGAAGGAATAGTCAGAATTTCTGTTTTGTTTTGTTTTTGTTTTTGTTGAGAAGGAGTCTCACTTTGTTGCCCAGGCTGGAATGCAGAGGCTCGATCTCGGCTCACTGCAGCTCCCTGCCCCTGGGATAAAGCGATTCTCCCACTTTAGCCTCCTGAGTAGCTGGGATTACAGGCACTCACCACCATGCCTGGCTAATTTCTGTATTTTTAGTAGAGACGGTGTGGTAGGCCAGGTTGATCTCAAATTCCTGATCTCCAGTGATCTACCTGCCTTCGTCTTCCAAAGTGCTAAGATTATAGGCTTGAGCCACTGCACCCAGCTTAGAATTTACGTTTATTTATTTATTTTTTTAGAGAGAGTCTTGCCACACTACCTAGGCTGGCCTTGGACTTATGGGCTTGAGTCCAGGGATCCTCTCAAGTAGCTGGGATTACAGGTGTGCACAACCACACCTAGCTTAGATACTGCTGTAAGAGTTGAAGGTCCCAAAGTTTGAAAGCTTTTACTGTTTACCAGCCTTCTTCTGAAAGGCTGGAAACCCTGCTCCATGAGTATTCTCCACGTAGGTTTTTTTTTTTTTTTGAGATGGAGTTTTGCTCTATTGCCTAGGCTGGAGTGCAATGACCTGATCTCGGCTCACTGCCACCTCTGCCTCCTGGGTTCAAGTGATTCTCCTGCCTCAGCCTCCCAAGTAGCTGGGATCACAGGTGCCCGCCACCACACCTGGCTAATTTTGTATTTTTAGTAGAGATGGGGGTTCACCACGTTAGCCCCGTTAGTCTCGAATTCCTGACTTCAGGTGATCCACCTACTGTAGCCTCCCAAAGTGCTGGGATTACAGACATTAGCCACTTCGTCTGGCCTCCATTTAGTATTTTCGTGGCACCTGCATTTTCAGTTTTCCAAGGCAGGAAGGGCAAGAATAAAACTGCTTCTCCAGTTCATTTGGCTATATTAGAACAGTTTTGTTGTGTATGGAGGGGGAAAAAAATGGACATTTTTTTTCTCCTTGACACTTCTGGGACCACTATGTGTTTAAGTTGTGTGCTGAGCTTGACTGCAGTGGGAAGAAATGTGACCCTGGGGTCCACGGCTCAGTGGTCCTGCCACCCACTAGGAGGCTTTCTTGAGCCATTTCTGGGGGTGGGAGAGGATTCACCTGTTGGAGTGCCCCCTCCCTGCGGTGCATGGATCAAAATCGGAACGGAACATCTGAAAGTGCTGGAGGATACATAAGGACCAGCTGTTTTCTAGCCCAGCGTTTCAGTGCCCGGGGCCTCTGGACCACGCGCTCCTACTGAGCCTCAGCCACAGAGTTTTGGGGGCTGCACAAAGAGAAGAAAGCCTGCTCCAAAGAGTCTAGTGGCCGGGCGCGGTGGCTAAAGCCTGTAATCCCAGCACTTTGGGAGGCCGAGGCAGGTGGATCACGAGGTCAAGAGATTGAGACCCTCCTGGTCAACATGGTGAAACCCTGTCTCTACTAAAAATACAAAAAATTAGCTGGGCATGGTGGCACGTGCCTATAATCCCAGCAGCTACTCAGGAGGCTGAGGCAGGAGAATTGCCTGAACCCAGGAGGCGGAGGTTGCAGTGAGCTGAGATCGCGCCATTGCACTCCAGCCTGGGTAACGAGCAAAACTCGTCTCAAAAAAAAAAAAAAAAAAAAAGGAGTCTAGAAATTCAAGAATGTGAGAGTAATGATTGCTGTAGCTGTTAACCAGCTTTAAAGAGTAAGCCTGCCACTGGCAGGTATGGAAACTTAGGTATAAACCTTCTGGAGAATAATTCAGCAAAACGTAATTAAAAACTTTAAAAGTGTGCATGAGGCCTGGGCACGGTGGCTTACACCGGTAATCCCCAAACTTTGGGAGGCTGAGGCAAAAGGATTGCTTGAGTTCGAGATCAGCCTGGGCAAGATGACAAAACCCTGTCTCTATAAAAAAAATTTGTTGTTGTTGTTTTTTTTTTTACTTTTGTTTTTTGAGATGGAGTTTTGCTCTTGTTGCACAGGCTGGAGTGCAATGACGTGACCTTGGCTCACCACAACCTCCGCCTCTCAGGTTCAAGCGATTCTCCTGCCTCAGCCTCCCAAATAGCTGGGATTACAGGCATGCACCACCATGCCAGGCTAATTTTTTGTATTTTTAGTAGAGATGGGGTTTCTCCATATTGGTCAGACTGATCTCGAACTCACAACCTTAGGTGATCCATCCATCTCTACCTCCCAGAGTGTTGGGATTACAGGCATGAGCCACCTCGCCCAGCCTGAAAAATTTAAATAAAATTAGCCAGGCTTGGTGGCGCACCTGTAGTTCCAGTTACCTGGCAGGCTCAGGTAGGAGGATTGCTTGAGTCTAGAAGATCAAAACTGCAGTGAGCTTCCACCAAAGGCTGTGTGCCCCAGTTTAAAAAAAAAAGGTGGGGTGCAGTGGCTCATGCCTGTAATCTAGCACTTTTGGAGGCCGAGGAGTTTGACCAGCTTGACCAACATGGTGAAACCCTGTCCCTACTAAAAATACAAAAAAATTTAGCTGAGCCTGGTGGCAGGAGCCTGTAATCCCAGCTACTTGGGAGGCTGAGGCACAAGAATCGCTTGAACCCGGGAAGTGGAGGTTGTGGTGAGTCCAGACCATGCCACTGCACTCCAGCCTGGGCAACAAGAGAGAGACTTGGTCTCAAAAAAAAAAAAAGTGCATACTCTTTTGAATCAGAACTTAGGAAAACCCTGGGCTGGGTACAGTGGCTCACACCTGTAATCTCAGCACTTTGGGAAGCCAAGGAGGGCAGATCACCTGAGGTCAGGAGTTTGAGACCAGCCTGGCCAACATGGCAGAATCCTGTCTATGCTAAAAAAAATTATCCAGGCATGGTGGTGCGTGCCTGTAGTCCCAGCTACTGCAGAAGCTGAGGCAGGAGAATCACTTGAACCTGGGAGGTGGAGGCTGTAGTGAGCTGAGATTGTGCCACTGCA